AAGCTTCATCTTGTGCCTCAATTGATGCAGTGTCACCTGGTTGGTCTATGCCTATTCGAGCCTGTAACTGTTGCTGTCCAACATTTTCCTATCCTGAGAATCCTGGGGCGGAATCCAGGTGGTCTGTGCGGATCCCGTACAATTTAGTTGGCGACCTCGTACAATTAGACTCTTTTCTATTCTCATCAACTACTGTGTAGGGCCTGCGATGTGCCACGCTAACTTGTAAACTCTGCAAACTGTCTTGTCGACGTTCCTTGGCGGAATCACTGAACCGAAAGGAAGCAGGGATGGCGCCCAGTCGCCCGGTTGCCGCTCGGCTCGGCCCCTGTTCTCCGACCGGAAGTTGAGTTTGAGTCAAACATCGACCGCTTCACGCCGATCACTGCCTACACAGTACACTTGTCAACCTTTTCGAAGCTGTGCCAAGCCCGACTATCGACAGCTACAGGTAAGGCTGTGCCTCGTATCTCACCCCATGCTGACCTGTCAGCTGTCCCGCACAGGTAGGTCAAATCCGGTTAGACTTGGCCAGCCGCTTCCTGGACAATATCGATACGAAGCCACCCCAGGTCCTGGCCCACCCAGCACTTGGATCTTGACAACATGTCGCTGTGCTAGGATGTGTAGCGAGAAAGGCTAATGCGGGCTCTTCTTTAACCGTCTGATGATCAGATTGGGTCATTGATGCGCAAGATGGCGGCATAAGTAGCAAAGGGGGACAGGGCATCAGACCTGTTATCTCCTCAAGGTCACTAACTCTTCGCTCGCTTCTGGGAACGGAGAGATGAAGATATCAACCGTCCAATCAGTCTTTTACAATGCCCTCGGTGTGCTCTCGCTGTGGGCCACCGCTAGTTCTGCCCAACAGGAGGATCAGTTTCGGATCGCTTTGAAACTCACTCCGGAAGCGCATCAGCAGCAACACGCTGACCCCAACTTCATCACAACCCTCTTCCAGAGAACGCAGCCCCAAGGCTTTGGTGCGGCCCCCCAAGTTACAACTGGTCCACTCATCGGAGCGCAGCGCTCGGCCAACATTTCCGCCCGGTTTGCGCTTGCTGGAAAGCGGGATGCTGCGCCTAACTTCGACGTTTGGTATCAGATTCAGCTCGGATCCGAGTCGGGTGAGCAGGCTCGACGCGACACCGAGGCGCAGAATAACACGACCGAAACCGCCCTGCCGCAGCACATTGTCGAGCTGATCCGGGGGCTCATCGAACTCCCCGAGGTCGAAAGCGTTCACCCGCTTCTGGCTACCCCACCTCCTACGATCGGGGGCCTTGGGCCCAGGGCGATTGATGCCAGCGATGATCCTCGCAGCCCGGATCAGGGGTATCTCAACCCGGCGCCACAAGGCATCGATGCGCGCTACGGCTGGGGTTTCCCTGGCGGTGATGGTACTGGTGTGGGTATCGTGGATATGGAGCAGGGTTGGAAGATTGACCATCAGGATTTCGTAAGCCCTCCCTTGGTCATCCCAGGCGCGTGTGTGTGTGTGTATGTGCGTGTGTGTGTGATAACAAAAGATGAGCGCTAATACCGAGGTCGCAGATAGCCGCTGGCATCACCTTCATTTCTGGGTTCAACAAAGGCAGATGGGGGTTTGCGCACGGCACCTCGGTGATGGGCGAGATGCTCATGCAAGACAACCAGATGGGTGGTGTCGGCATCGTGCCTGGTGCCAAGGGCAGGGTCATCTCACTGTGGCGTGATGAATGGTGGCCCAATGTGCCGGATGCCATCCTCGACGCCGTTGCCCACATGAGCGCTGGAGACATCCTGCTGCTCGAAGCACAGGAATATGACCCCACTGGAGTCATTGGCTACGTGCCTGTCGAGGTATTCGATGCCACTTTTGAGGCCATCCAGGTTGCGACGTCTCTCGGCATCATCGTTGTGGAAGCCGGCGCGAACGGGTCACGCGACCTTGACGCGTACACGACACTCTTGGGCAAGCAAATCTTCAACCGCGCCAGCCCTGATTACCGCGAGTCTGGTGCCATCCTGGTGGGCGCTGGCAGTTCTGGGGTCCCCCACTACCGCATGTGGTTCTCCAACTACGGTTCCCGAATCGATGTTTTTGCCTGGGGTGAGAACGTCGACACGACGGACACGGATTATTCGTATGGTACCGAGAGCTGGTATACTTGCTGTTTCAGCGGCACATCCAGCGCGTCCCCTATTGTTGTTGGCGCGGCAGCAATCCTCCAGGGCATCTCCCTCGCAACTCGGGGCGCCAAGATGGGCCCGTTGGAGATCCGCGACATGCTCAAAATTAACGGGACTCCAAGCGCCGACCCTGCCTACGACCGCATCAGCGTCATGCCCAACCTCAAGGCCATCATCGACACCGTCTTCAACAACAACACCGGTGGAAACCCCGACATCTACATCCGCGACCACGTCGGCGACACTGGCGACGCCACCTCTGGCGTCGTGTCCTCCAGCCCGGACATCATCATCCGCCAGCAGCCCATCGCCAACCCAGACGCCGCCCTCGGCTCCGGCAGCGGCACCGAGACCAACCCTTCGCTCTCGCAACCCGTCGTTTCCGGCCAAAACCATTCGCTCTACGTCCGCCTCCAGAATCGCGGCACCCGCGCTGCCTCCTCCGCCAACGTCACCGTCTACTGGTCCGAGCCGGCCACCCTGGTAACCCCCAACCTCTGGACCGAAATCGGCACCGCAACCCTCCCGGCCATCCCTGCAACCAGCAACGGCCTCATCGTCTCCCCGCGCCTAGCCTGGCTCGCCGACAAAGTCCCGGCGTCCGGCCACTACTGCTTCGTCGCGCTGGCAGGCAGCGACAATGACCCGGTCCCAGCCGTGCCCAACACCTTCCCGGACTTTGTCAAGTTCGTCCGCGAGAACAATAACGCCGCCTGGCGCAACTTCAACGCCATCCCTGCGGCGACGGACGGGTGGCAGAAGTTTCCTGTTACCGTGCCCGGCGCGTTTGATAGCGCCAGGGAGTTTGTGTTGAAGGCGGTGGGGCATCTGCCCCAGGGCTCTAAGGTCAGGTTGCAAGTGCCCAAGGAGTTTGCAGGGAAGATGGGGATCAAGGGGTGCAATAAGGGGGACAAGGTGGTGGTGGGGTTGAAGCCTGGGGAGACGTTGCAGGTCGGCGTGGGCCTGTTGGATGCGGGGAGCCTCGCGAAGTGTGAGCTGCAGGTGCAGGTCAATGGGACGGAGGGGGACGCTGAGTATGCGCTTGTGCAGGAGTGGGTTGGCGAGGGGGGTACGATTGAGGTTGGGAGGGTGACTTGGCGGTTTGGACCGGTTGTGGAACTGTGAGGTGAGATTGGGGAAGGGGGAATGAGGAGGTTAGACGAGGTTGGGCTTGGATACACGGTATAGTTGGATAAAGTATAGAGAGAAAAGGCTTAAATCCAAAGGCCGAGTCGCGTAATTCTCAAAGGGCACCGTCTCATCGCTTGAATCAACTGTTACACGTATGAGGTTGAAACCCTAATGCATGACACCAAGGTGAGTGGGAAGATCGGCAAGCAAGTGGAGACTGTAGAACTCCGCGTTCTTGTCGCGGAATCTGCAGTTGAGCAAGCAGTTCCGGATTTACAGAGACACTTTAGCTTCGGTTTATTTTACAGCTGACGAAATATAACCAACCATCATGCACCCCAGACTTTTGATACCCCTTCGGCGTCATTCAACCAATGATCATATGCCGGTTACCGGCAGTCGGCAAGCCATGACAGAAACATGGGGCTCATCAACTGGGGCTCCTCAACTGCCGGCTAACATCGAGTTATGAACGATGAAGACTTGGCTGGTCAGCACTACACACAGTCCATAGTGATTCCTAGCTTCCGCGCTCTTTATAAAATCTGGACGCTGTAGAGTTTCGATTCTAGCGGCTATTTATTCAAGCTTACACCTTGAAGGAAGCAAATCTGGTGTAATGAAGAGAAGGTTTCTACCTACAGCTGGGACCTGACAGCGTCAGCATTGGGTCCAGGAAGTTTACATACAACTCACCAAGACGTCAGGATGGTCCAACACACGGCATTGAGCGCGATCATTTATGCTGGCCTCGTCTCGGCTGGCGCGAACCCTCAAGACGCGGTTGACAAACTAGCCGAATCCAGCCTGCCAAAGCTGGAGGAGTGGCTGATTAAGAACCCGCAGCCCGGTTACGCCTGCAAGACGGCCGCAAAGCGGAAGGAATGGTTGGTCTCCCTGGCCTCGTTGCTTTCTACGGCCCACTGGCCACGGCGTTGACATGTTACAGGAGTGATCTGAGTCTCGCCGAGCGCAAGCAGTACACAGATGCTATTCTCTGCCTGCAGTCCAAGCCCGCCTTGACCAGTAGGTAGGCACTAGGGGCAGAGAGCAGGTTTAACGATTACGGCATGGATATCAAATAACGAGCACGAAATCCGAACTTTCTGACTATATTGATCCTCCCAGTCGTCTTTCATATCCAGCAAACTCCCAAGAACCATGGCTCAGTACGACACGCCTGTGCGAGAACTTACGATGGGCACTACTCAAGTGATGCAGAGTTTTTTTCTGCCCTGGCACCGGTATTACATCGGGTATTACGAGAACGCCCTGCGCACTGCATGCAATTACACGGGATATCAACCGGTGAGCAACGCTTACGGCGGTGCCCTGCTCAAACTCTGACAAAACCCAAAATCTTATTTGGCTCTAACCCACCGTAAAAATTTTTCATTTATCCTGATATCTGCATCCACCCGCTTCCTCAAATTTCATCACCCAAACCGATGGTTCTTTTCACAGCGCCACAGCTTCCCAGCCACAATCCATCCTCACGCACTTACCTACCAAATCGCATCTGTTCAGGCGGCTGATTACTTTTCTGGTTTCATCAAAGCAGCTTACACCAATGAACATTTTAACTCCAAATCTACCACACTCATCTTGCTGCTGTCACATTCGGTTGTCTGCTGTCATGACGCTTGCTTTGTCTAAGTTCATCGAGGAGGCGAACACAATGGAGCTCAAGCAGGTTGACCGGGAGAAATTGAAAACTGCCCTCGAGTTAACAACTTGGATTGTGAACCAGCTGCATCAGAAGCGCTATAACAAGGTAGCCGCTTACCTAGCAACCCACCAAGTATGTCCATTGTCCCAATGCAGAGAGATATTCACTTATAGTAATGTATCTCTAGGTTGTCGAACGTCTTTTCGAGCCTGCAGTCTATTTCTCCCATACCGAACTGATCAAGGCTCCCTGGGACCTGGACCGACCTGAGCTGCGATGGCTATGGCTGTTTACATTTCTGAGGTAGACGTGAAAGAGAATCCAAATTGCAAGCAATGTAAAAAAGACATTGGGCCGACTCCTGCTCCCAAGTGTCTTGCGCCTAGCAGCAATATCTTGGGCGGAGCATGCACAAATTGCTTTTATTCCGGTCATCGTACCCAATGCAGCTTTGTTCGCGGTAAGTGATTCCCAACTAATTGTTTCTTTCCCTTTTAACCTATATTATTATTATTATTCCTACACCGCTGTGCCCTTGGGCTTGCCGGACCTTCAACAACTTGCTATACAGGAAAACCCCGCCCTCGTGGGCCGGGTGAAAAACCCATATCGACAATCAAGGAAACGATCAGTGTGCGA